GCCGCCATTTTTCGGGAAATAATTTCGATTCGCGCCGTCCCGAATTAGGCTATTTTTCGGGGGATTCGGCCGCGAATTCGAAAATTTTTCCCGATATGCGACTCGAATTCCACTTTTGGCTTACTTCGATTCGCTCATCTCTAATTATTATAGCCAGAATTTTTTTAGTGTTCCTTGAAATGGGACACAAATGATTAATTTAATATATTTTCTTACCCCTATATCATTAATTATGATGCTTGTTTTTACAACAAATTATTGATCTTTAGTAGGAAAAAGTGTTTTTTAGTTTAGTCAGTTTACTTATCTTATAAGATTGCAAAAAAAATGTGAAGAGTATATGTTAATTACTTTTATTCTTTAAAAATAATGACGTAATTAAGGTAATCACGACTATAAGGCTTATAGATGAAATGTAAAAAATTTGCCCCTGTGTACATATTGGGTACCGTTGAGCAAGATCTGAAATGGTAAACGGGCAACATTTTGAGATCATTATGCATCAACATAATTTTAACCAAGAAATACAGGGGCTTTTCCTTTACCAGTCATTTCTATACTGCACTTTGAGGGCCCACTCAACACATATTCTGAAGAACCAACATCTTCTGATTTATAAAGCTGCATGGACCCCAAACTGGAACATTTTAACTAACTACAGAAATAAGCAGGGGAGGAGGGTTTATCTGCCAGACCGCAAGTATTATGTGTGAAAGGGACTGTAGAATCCACTCCCTTGGTGATTTTACACTGGCCATTAGTTTTATATTATATCATTTTTCCTTTCTCTTAACCACTTCATTACCGGGCACTTATACCCCCTTCCTGCCCAGGTCAATTTCAGCTTTCAGCGCTGTCGCACCTTGAATGACAATTGCGCGGTCATGCAACACTGTACACATATGACATTTGTATAATTTTTTTTCACACAAATAGACCTTTTCTTTTGGTGGTATTTAATCACCATTGAGTTTTTTTATTTATTTGCTAAATAAAACAAAAAACACCTGAAACTTTTGAAAAAAAATGCACTTTTCTTCGTTTCTGTTATAAAATTTTGCAAATAAACAACATTTCTTCATAAATTTAGGTCAAAATGTATTTTGCTACATTTCTTTGGTGAAAATAATAATATAATAATTGAATTTGCATTTTTTTTTTCAAATGCTTCTATTATTTTTATTATTTTTTATAAAATTTTTTCTTGTTTTTACTATTTTTATTTTTCAGCACACTGTGACCAAAGCAATACAATGTTTTTCCATAGTAACATTGAACTACACTTGGCAAGTGATCAGGAATTTTTTTTGCATTTAACAACATAATTGTATATAATAGATGGCATGACAGGAAGCCATCCATTGTATACGATTGACATGTGATCTGCTGTGATTGGTCACAGCAGGTCATATGACACTGGCAAAGGGCTGGTGCAGTGATATGTCATCGGCTGTGTCCCATGGACACAGCCGTGACAGATCGCGCCGCTGCACGGCTCCGCGGCCACGTGAGTTCGCTCGTTTTGAGAGGATGTCATATGACGCCCAGTCACAATGCCGAGTGTCTCTTCCGGTCTTATGCTGTTAATATTGGTTATGCATGGTTTTTTAATCATAGCTAGGATGCCTCCTATAGCAGAGTTTGTATATGCTTGCAGAGTTACCCATCCCACTCTCTAATCTGAAATAATTTTTTTTTCTAATTTGGGAGAAAGAGAGAACAGGAAGGAAGGTGAACTGTATATATTTTGATATTTTTATTATTGACTGTTTAGGTACTCTCTCTCAGTACAGGATGTATTAGTTTGTAGGATGAGCATCAGGATTTTAGATTTAAAAAGGATGTTAAAGGTTCCCTTTAAATCAGTATTAACATCTGGGGCGATCAAAGGGTTAACTGTGTGATGTGTGCTGTTTTACATAAATGCGCTGTGTGTGTGTTTTACTAGGGAAACATGCTGCTGTGTATTTCTTTGCTGTGCAGAGAAATACACAGCAGCATGTCCCTTTCTGGCGGGAGAGAGACCTGTGTTGTGTACACACAGGTCTCTCCCCTGTCAGTGTTGCTCGGTGATTGCCGTTTGCCGGCAGGGAATCTTTGGCTGAGACCAGCTGATGCAGCCAATGGCAGCGTGGGCAGGGCGGCGCACACGCGTGCCCCCTACAGGGAAATGCAAATCATGTATATTACAGTAGTTCTACTATAGGGCGGCAGGCAAGCAGTTAAAATATTAGTAACCCACAACAGTAAAATCAGTCTGTATATGCAGTAAAGCACAGGTGTCAAACTGGCGGCCCTCCAGCTGCTGTTGCCAAACTACAAGTCCCATAAGGCATTGCAAGATTGACAGTTACAAGCATGACTCCCAAAGGCAGGGGCATGATGGGACTTGTAGTTTCGCAACATCTGGGGGACCGCCAGTTTGACACTCCTGCAGTAAATAATGCTTGTTATACTCACTGTGGAACTTAAGGGGTTAATCCTCTGCATTGTGTAAAAAGGATGTTTGATCTGGACTTCTCTGATCCTCCCCTTCTTCCACGTTTGCTATTTCACCTCCTGATAGAGCACAGCCTCGGGGACGCTCTGCACATGCTCAGTTTGGTGTGTATTGCTTTTTCTTGGGAGAGTGCATGTGATAAGCACAGGGCCAATCAGCACTGTCCAGACAGAGGGTCATAGGTTATACAATCTTATAGGGCAGTGAGAGGAGAATGAAAACTCCTCCTACAGGCTTTAACCAGTGCTCTGCTGGACACTGATAGAAGTCACAAGACTGCTGTAATTGCTGATGAGAAAGGTATTTAGCAGTTTATAGTTACTAAAAATAATTGCATTTCCATGTTCTGTGTGCTGTGGGAGACCGGATATAGTGAATGCAGGGTCCAGGGGTTTAGTAATACTTTAAACCCACAAGACAACATTTATTATATTGCAGCTTACCAATTTTTAGATTTGATTGCTGTTTTCTTTTTTTTATTTGGTGATCCACCAGTAAGTTTTGTTTTTCAAAAGAACAAGCTGTCCCATAGATTGTATCAGTTACAGGGATGAGATATGCAGCACCGATGGGCACTGATAGGCTGCACTGATGAGGTGGCACTGATGAGGTGGTACTGATGATGCTGCACTGATATGCATCAATGATGGGCACTGATAGGTGGCACTGATAGGCAGCACTTATGGGCATTGATGGGCGGCTCTGACTGGCGGCACTGACTGGCAGCACTGCTGGGCACTGATGGGCGCAACTGCTGGGTGGCACTGATCATCAGTGCCCTGATGATCAGTGCCGATATGTTCTGTGACAATTGCCGCTCTGACAGAGTGAGGAAAGTGCTGCCGATAACCGGCAACTGTATTTACTCGGTGATCTGCTGTGTCATTGGACACAGCTGATCACGTGGTAAAAGGTCACTGTGATTGGCCTTTCATCTCAGCACATGATCAGCTGTAGCCATAAGACACAGCGATCATGGAGATCGCCGAGTGCGCACCATTGGGGGCAAGCAGGAGGGTGCGTTCTGGGAGGGCGTCATATGACACCCTCCCAGAACTGGACAACCGCGCTGTAGCCGTCATTCAGCTTAGTTCAGTTGGCAAGAGGTTTAAGGCTAAGTTCACCTTTTTTTCTCCCTAAATTCTATCTTCTCTATGTACCAATATACCATTAATGTACCTCTACTTCAGAAAAGAAAAAGCTTTCTTTATATTCTAGGCCAGGCATTACCTCAGCCACCAGTTTGTTTTATAGAAAACTCCTCCATGACTTCTTGGTATTTGAGATAAGAAAACGGTTAGAAGGAAATAGTTCTGCAGCTGATCTCAAAACACACCCTGCACCTGCCCCCACCACCCCTCCAGGAGATTGCACCAACCTACTCATTGTCATTGAGCACCATACTCAGGTGTCTTCCTCTACTAATCAAATTTTGTACCTTACCTTCTTCTTGCATAGATTGTTCATTTGGCAGAGGGAATATAAATATACCCTGTGATAGCAATAGGCAGTGACAGGTAATCTTGGTGGAGAGATCTGGGGTCTTTTAGACCCCATATGTTTCCTCTGCCCTTAAAAGCATTTGATCACACTAAGATCGGGGTGATCAGATGCTTTTCCTGTTATAAAAATAGCGCTGTTTGCATCCAGGGAAACCGGAAGTGATGTAGCTCATTGCTTCCAGTTTTCTATACAGTATCAGAGCTAATCTGGTCTTTCCAGGTAGGGGGCACGCACGAGCCACGCCGCCGTTTGTGGCCTCGGTTGTCAATCACCAGGTGATTACTTGCCGGCACCCGGTGATCAAGGAGCATTACTGACAGAGGGAGAGAACTGTATGTTAAAAATACAGTTCTCTCCCCTGTCAGCTCCTGCACACTGTTTTGTATGGCTGTGCATAGCAGAGCTATACAAAGCCGTGTGCTTACAGTGAAGCATACACACAACCCACAGTAAAACGGCACACAGCACACAATTAACCCTTTCATCGGCTAAGATGTTAACCCCTTCCTGCCCAGTGTCATTAGTACAGTGTCAGTGCTTTTTATTAGCACTGATCACTGTACTGGTGTCACTGGGGATGTCAATAACACCAAGTCAGTTTCCCCTCAGTGTCAGAATGCCCGCCGCAGTCCTGCAGTCCCTCTATAAGTCACTGATTGCCGCCATTAGTAGTAAAAATTAAAAATAACAACAAATCCCAGTATATATATTGCCATTTGTAAATGCTAGAACTTTCATGTAAACCAATTCATTTTCACAATTGGGATTTGTTTTAGCAAAGACGTGACAGAATACATTTTGGCCTAAATTTATGATGAAATTAGATTTTTTAAATTTTTTTACTGGACATGTTTAATAGCATAAAGTCAAAAATATTGTTTTTTTCTTAAGTGTTGATCTTTTTTTTCCTTTCTCTTCTCAACACCGAAGCTGGAGCTGGGATCCGATTAAATGACCAGACAATTATACCCTCAGAATAGGTAAGTATAGACCAGGGACTGACAACTCATGGGGCCCCCGGGCAATAGGGGATCATGGGGCCCCTGTGTCCTTGCCCAAACTCAAAAAAGCCTATGAAAAAGGTACCAGGGGCATCTCATGGGGCCACCTACTGACCCCCGGCCCTCGGGCAGTGCCCGAGTTTCCAAATGGTCAGTCCGCCCCTGGTATAGACATAATTCCTTAGACACGGTTAGAATACATTTTGGCCTAAATTTATGACAAAATTTGATTTTTTTTATTTTTTTTACTGGATATGCTTTATAGCAAAAAGTCACAAATATTGATTTATTTTCAAAATTGTTGGTCATTTTTTGTTTATAAAAAATAAAAACCGCACAGGTGATCAAATACCACTGAAAGAAAGCTCTATTCATGGGAAAAAAAGGACAGAAATTTAATTTGGGTGCAGTGTTGCATGACCGCGCAAATGTGAGTTAAAGTAACGCAGTGCCATAATGCAAAAAATGGCCTGGTCAGGAAGGGGGGGTAAATCCTCTGGAGGGCAAGTGGTTAACAGACAATTTCTTTAACTTACAAGGAGTACACCTTTAACCAGTGTTTACCTCAACGTGGCACATTTTATTTTAGCTGCACCACATGTTTATAAATGCAATCGTGTTGTAAAAAACACAGCTGGTTGATTCAAGGGTGAGCTGGAGATCTAAAAAAGGCTGTTTACATTGTTCAAAGTACAATCTATGGTAGAGACGATGCCTTTCTGTGTGGGCCCTGTAATTCGGGAAGTGAGCGATTCCATAAGTGCAGCTGGACAAAGCACTGCAACCTCTAGAAAACGAACATTTCCTATAGTATTCATCAGATCTACTCATGCTGAACATTTCAGAATAGTGAAAAGCTGAAACAAAGCAAATAATGAGAGTTAAAAGCCACGCTAAAGGGATTTGGAGGTGCTTTACCAACATATTGCCAGACCGGCAGATCTGTGTTTAGTTAAGGGTTTCATGTACACTGCAGCTGCTAAACTCACGTTCAGGAGCTTTACTGCGTTTTTTTCAGCAGCCCCTGAACTCTCCCTAATGTTTTCCTATGTGTCCATGTACACATAGTCGTTTACAGGCAGTTGAGTTTACAGTCGTTTTTTTGAACACACCAAACTTGCGTTCAGGAGTAGATTTTATCAGCATTTAAAACGCCAAATGCTTGTAAAGGTAGCTAACTGCGTTTATAAGCGTTTGCATTTAGAAACGTTTTTTTTTAACTGTTCCAAATCCAAATGCTGTCCAGAGCCTTTTCTCATCATGAGAAATGCATGCAAAGCATTTTTCATGTATTCAAATGGACCCAGTATACCAGCGCAGTCAGTTCCAGGTTTTGCGGGAAGGAAAAAATGGTAGAACGTGCTGCATTATGATGGGATCCATAGTGAATACAACCAGAAAAGATAGGTAATCTCAACACATCTCCTAGATTGTAAGCTCTAAGGAGCAGGGCCCTCTGTTTCCTCTTGTACCAAATTGTATTGTAACTGGAATGTCTACTTTCATTTTGTAAAGCTCTGCGCAAACTGTTGGCACTATATAAATCCTGTATAATAATAATAATAATAATAATACTGCTCTTTCTGCTGCTGCTCTCTCTATTTCTCTCAAAATATCTGAAATAGTTCATTTTTTACTGTTTTTCAGTGCATTCTGGGCATTTTGGAAGGTCTCCTGATGTTATCTTTAAAAATTGCTTCTAAACGCAAACGCGCATAAACGTGGTATGCAAACGCAACTAAACAGACATTTTTTAACCTACGTTTTCCAGCAGCCAATTTCCATTGTTCAGAAGTGTTTTCCAAACGTCCTGTATACATGGAGCCTAATACTCTCAACCAGGTTTAAAGTTTTGAACTTCAGGAAAACAAGTAATACAAAGCTGGAAAACACATATGTCAATTTTCTTGTTTGCCAAAAAGATTTTTTGTTTTCCAAACCTTGAGCAGACAGAGCGATAGCACCATGTCTTAAAATTTTCCTTTCCTGGATTTCATTTCACTCCTCACCGGCCCAATCAACATGCTACAGTTGTGCTCAAAAGCTTTCATACCCTTATGCCCTGTACACAGGATAAGAATATCGAATGATCATCCTGGTTTTTTTTGCATGCTAGTCTCCATATCGAAAATGAAGAGGGTACTAAACTTACGAAAATTCTCGTATGAAAGAAAATAAATTCTGAAAGTGATGTTATCTATTTTATTGTATTTATAGTGTATTTTTGGACAACTACTGTACTGATTCACTGAAAATCATATGATCTGGTATCGTAGAAGAAAATTTTTCTCCCCTGTCCGTTTGGATATCGTGGCACAAACTGTCATAATCAGCTCTCGAAAGCTGTGTACTAACGATCAGATTATCAGACGATCGGTCCTTCTACGAAAATTTTCATATAGTTTTCATATGAACATTTCCTATAGTATTCATCAGATCTACTCATGCTGAACATTTCAGAATAGTGACAAGCTGAGACAAAGCAAATAGTGAGACTTAAAAGCCACACTAAAGGGATTTGGAGGTGCTTTACTAACATATTGCCAGACAGACAGATCTGTGTTTAGTTAATATTCTCAACTAGGTTTATAGTTTTGAACTTCAGGCAAACAACTAATACAAAGCTGAAAAAAACAAAAATTTAAAATTTCCTTATTTGCTTAAAAGGATTTTTGTTTTCCAAACCTTGAGCAGACAGAGCACCATTTTTTCTGTCTTAAAATTTGCCTTTCCTGGTTTTCATCCCACCCCTCACCCTCCCAATCAATATGCTACAGTTGTGCTAAAAAGCTTTCATACCTTTATGCCCCGTACACACGATAAAAATATCGGCTGAATGATCACTGGGTTTTTTTGCATGCTAGTCTCCATATCGAAAATGAAGGGGGTACTAAATTTCAGAAAATTCTCAAACAAAAGAAAAGAATTACAAAAGTCATGTCATCTACCGTATTGTATTTATATTATATTGTATTTATATTGTAATTTCAGACGGCTACTGTACTGATTAAATGAAAATCGTACGATCTGGTATCGTACAAGAAAAATTTCTGTGCCTGTCCCCTCGGATATTGTCGCACAAACTGTTGTGATCAGCTCTTGAAAGCTGCGTACTACCGATTAGATTATTGGACGATCGGTCCTCGTACAAAAATTTTCATACAATTTTCTTATTGTGTGTGCGGCCTTTAGAGGATTTTAGAGGATTAGTAAGAAACAGTATGTACAATTTTTAAAGAAAACATGAGTGAGCAGACAAAACACATTTCTTTTATTTCTCATGGTATCCATATTCAACTGTAGGTCATAACAGAATGGCACAGTCATAAAACAAAACATAGCAACAAGTAAACAAATGAAATGACCCCCGTTCAAAAGTTTGCATCTCCTTAGTTCTTAATACTGTGTATTGCCCCCTTTAGCATCAGTCTTTTGTAATAGTGCTCTGTGAGGCCCCAAATTCTTACAGGTGGTATAGTTGCCCATTCGTTTTAGCAAAATGCCTCCAGGTCATGTAAATTCTTTGGTTGTCTTGCATGAACCACACATTTGAGATCTCCCCAGAGTGGCTTGATGACATTAAGGTCAGAAGACTTTGATGGCCATTCCAGAACGTTCACTTTTTTCTGTTGTAACCACTGGAGGGTAAAATTGGCCTTGTGCTTAGGATCATTGTCGTGCTGGAAATTCCGAAAGCGTACCATGCACAGCTTTCATGCAGATGAATGCAAATTGTCTGCCAGTATTTTCTGATAACATGCTGCATTTATCCTGCCATCAATTTCCACAAGAATCTCCGAGCCTTTTGACCACTCTCCAAACATAGTGCCTATGGCTGTGACCTTAAAGCTCTGTTCTGGTCTTGTCACTCCAGACTAGAGTGTGCCAGAAGCTGTGAGGAATGTTAAGGTGTTTAGGGCATATTGTAACCAGGCTTTTTTGTGGCAATGGCACAGTAAAAACTACTTTCTGGCAACTCATCCATGCAGCTCATTTTTGTTTAAGTTTTATCGTATTGTGCTCCTTGAAACAACCAAACCATCTTTTTCCAGAACAGCCTGTATAGCAGTTGTGGCTGCAATCTTTCTTGGTCTACCTGACCTTGGCTTGGTATCAAGAGACCCTTGAATTTTCCACTTCTTAATAAGTGATTGAACAGTACTGAGTGCCATATTAAAGTCTTTGGACATCTTTTTATATCCTCTTCCAAGCTCTGTCCAGCTTGCACAGCTACTCAGGGACTTTGCTGAACTTTACTGCTACTGTCACTACTAGCTACAAGGAGAAGTCATCCATCTGCTCTTCACCTAAAGCTCAACCAAAGATCAAATAGAGTCCTCAGTTGTATGTAGCTGTATTCTTGGCATATCCTACTAAATTCCCTTCTCCCTATCCAAGTTCTCCAACACTAAAGCTACAAAACAACAACCCCTAGACTGATCATTGAAGACAACGAGTGAGTGTGTGTGTGCACCTGGCTGTGAAGCTACCTTGTGCCTGACTGCTAGACAAAAGTGTGGAAGAAGTGGGCAAAATCCTAACAACTCCTATGGGAGTATGGCAATAGACTGTTCCAGTTAGCCCTGAAATTGCCCTGAAATTGCTCAAGATTGTTTGTGTTTCTTAGTTGTGAGGGTTTTAGGCACTCAAGCATTTTGGAGTATCCAATTCCCCATTGTTTGCCTTCTGTTCAAGTTCTACAGCAGTAAATTTCAAAAAGACATCCTGTAGACTGTTTTCTGAGCTGGAGTGAGTGAACTGTTTGCTGTGTGCCTTGGAACCACCATGTCTTTAGGCACTTCCTTGCTGTGGTGGTGGATAGGGTGGGAGAGCATGGAATTTCACTGAGCCTGGGTAGAAACTGATGCAGTACGGCACTTCGCATGTGATTCACACAGGAACCACTCCTGTGCAAATCCCATGTGATTTATGTGCAGTGCAATTTGAGCCATACATTTTGTATGGCTCAAATCGCACCGCATCCACACCAAAAAAGTGCAGGACCATTTTTTTAGTCCACACCAGAATTGAATTGCATAGGTGTTCACACCCATGCGATCCGATTCTGCACATCGCACCACGTTTTTTGAACTGATTTTGGGGTGTTGGTAACTTAAAGTACACACCCGCAGTGGTTCATGTGAATGGGGTATGCGATTATGAATTTGCACAGAAAGCGGTGCGAATTCC